GTCCCGATTTGGAACCAATGGATATTTGGGCTGCGAACACCAAGCCAGCTAAAGACGGGGCTAGAGGCGGCTACCGTCAGCAGACGGCGAACACACCACCCAGAAAGCAAGAGGGAGACTCTGAGCGGCGTACTTACTTCTTTTGCAGTAAACAGGGTCACGTATTTCGATATTGCCGGCTGATGCAAAAGGATAGGGAAAAAATTGAACCAAATCCCGAGCAGCGCCACCACGCGAACAAACAGAGCAAGCAGGGAAACTTCCGGGCCCCTACGCAACGTGCGGTGCAGTGAAGGGGCCACACGCGATAACGGCCGCCAGACCCACCTCGAGTCAATTCAGTACTTGTACAAGTACGAGTAAAGGGACAGGACTTAATGGCCCTACTCGATACGGGATGAGAAGTGGATCTGATATCTGAAGCTGCAGCAAGTAGGTGCAGCCTACCCGTCTACCCACTGGAGCAATCTTTGAGGCTACGCTTCGCAGATGGCAGGCAGGATACTAGAATCGGCAAAACTATGGACGTAAAATGCACCACCAGTTCCAAAACAGTGCACATTCCTGTGACTAGGGACTTCTATGTTTGACCCGTTCACCACGACATAATCCTAGGCATGCCGTGGGTGACCCAGTAGAAGGCGCAGATGCGTTCCTCTGATGCTGCCATAGAGATCATTCCGCCTGAAAGTGAAGGGAGAGTGCACCTCTCAGCGCTCCCAACGGCGTTTGCATATTCTATGGTCAGAGGTGTGGAGACTGTGTCCGAAGAAAGGGGGAGCGACGAGGCTCCCCGGCAGCGCAGCGGCACTGACGATAATAATGGAGATATGCATGCACTCCGTCATCATTCTCTGGTAAAGACCGCAGTTTTGGGGGAATGGATCCAGTTAACACCCGAGGAACGGCAGAAGTGGACAAAATTGAATGAAGAGTCCTCAGATGTACTCAATAAGAAAGGGCTAATGGCGGGCAGGCCACCAGCTGGACGCTCTCTGCACCGCATCAAACTCCCTGGCTCAGCCCCAAGCTTCGTTCCAAGGGACAGACGAGCTCAACACCTTGAAGAGGAAAGTGAGCGGCAGGCAGACGAACTTCTGAAAAGGGGCAAGGTTCAGCCGTCGCCTAGCGTCTTTGGGCACAATCCCGTGCTGGCGAAGAAAAAGGACGGTAGGTGGCGTATGTGCATCGACTTCAAGCCCCTCAACAAGATTACAGCGAAGCAGAATTTTCCGATGCCCAGGGTGGAGGAAATCCTTGACCGCTTACAGGGTTCGGCGGTATACTCAGCAGTTGAGTTCGTCGTGGCCTTTTTGCAGATCCCTATTCACCCGGAGGACAGACACAAGACGGCGTTCCACACCCGCACTCGCAAGCCTGAGTACACTTGCATGCCCTTTCGCCTCGTTAATGCACCTGCCAAACTGCAGGGGCAAGTCAATCACGACTTCCTGGGGACAATCGCCGAGGGATGGATGGTGATATACATTGATGATGTGCTTGTGTTCAGCCGAAATGTGCACGAGCAGCTGCAGCACCTCGGGCGGGCGCTGCAACTAATACGTGAGAAGCAGTGGTTTGTGCAAGCGCAGTTCGCCACACCATGGGTTGGACCGTTTGCGGTCCGCTCTCGGGTCAACGCGTTGGCGTACATCATCGATTTACCCTCAACGTGGAGATGCCACCACAGTATTAACGTTGGTTTCATAAACAGTTTTGGGAATCCCCGTGGTTTCCTCGCTAGAGTGCGAGGGAACCGCGTTTATTCCCGAAACTGTTTTTTCAACGACCCCGCGGGCTTCTCCGCCTCGAGGACACAGATATTCTCGAGACGCGGATTAACGCCCGCCGAGGCCATGGGCGGGCGTTAATCCGCNTCCGCGCCTCGATAATCAAACTACATCAAATGGCCAGGCCCACGTGATCCTGAGTGGGTTTCGGAGGATCACTTAGGAGAACCGATCCCCCAGAACAGCTACGTGCCCTACTTGACCTTGCACCACCTACACCTAGTGTATGCATGCAGGCAGGTCGCGGAAGTGGACAACGGGTGGATAGATGTTAGAGGACCCCTTGTCAGCTCCCTGCAAATTTTTCTATTTTCCTACCCCGATTCCCCTGGAGGCTAACTACGGTGCCTCCCTATTTGTCTCTTTCCTCCCGCACACTGCGAGCCAGGTCGCGGGGGGGCACAAGCAACCAGCTGTACCTTTGCCTACTGGGGCTGGGTACCACCTTTAGGGCTTTGTTGCGGCTTTCGCCGGAGCCCCTGGGGGCAGCGACCCGGCGCGGTGGGACGGGAGGCAGTAACTGAAATTCAACCAAACGACTCGTAAACAAAGCAGCACTCATCGGAAAGCAGCTGCTTTCCTGCTTCACGTCCAAGCGGCGGCACTGTGAGCTGCGTCAGGCGCCACTGCGGATAGCCAGGCGCTGAGGAACGGGTCGGGCCGCCATCGCAGCAGTTTCGCTCTGCTGGATCGACCATTCCTATTTTGCTGCTCTTACTTCCACCACGCTCTATGTTTCGGCTGCCTGCCATTGCGAGCCAGCGTATTCAGCCGGTGCCGAGGCACCGTTATGGCGGCGGGGTGGACGCCGCATCATGACTCACTGTTTGAGTCAGATGCGGCGACCGACGCGCTGATTGCCCTCATCCTTCTGTTTAAATCGATCTCGCTAATTATTCGGCCCCTTTTACCAATTCCCCCTTCGTTTCATCGCCGGGACAACGTGACCATCTGCGTACAAAGGCGTGCACTTTTCGCTGATGGGGAGGCAGACGTAGCATGAGTTAGCGCAGAAGCCTTTCCCTGGTTTTGGCACGTTGCGTGTAAGCGCTTGCAAACGTTCTACACGTACGTTCAGAAGTAAAGCATGCAGCAAAGGAAGCTTCGCCGAAGCTTCCTTACATGCACGCGTGGGACTGGCTTGCACTACCAGCCGCAGTGGGGTGCGCTGCAACCCCATTTCTGGCCGCCTCCTCCCCGCAACATCCAGTTCTTGAGTTCAACGCCCAGGATGCCTAGAGACTGGGGAATGAGGTCAGTTGCTTTTGGGAAACACTTGCTTTAAGCGTTTGGCTACATTGCGGCTCGCCTCTGGCCAGATAAAGGCCAGAGAGCAAGCCTTATAGAAGGGGAATGAGGCAGAGACAGATACAGAAAGGAGACAGAACCAGCATCTAAGACAGACGAATTATCTATATGTTATACTGAAGCAACAGCTGCACCAGCACTGCTACTGCAGCTGCTGCAGCTGTTGCAGCAGCAGCCTTGCTTGAGTAGCAGCACGGCGTACCGTTGTGGTCTTTCCACCTGCTGCTGTTATCACTTAATTTGTTTAATTAAATATTATATATGCAGCTCTGCTGCAGCAGCCCTGGAGCAGCAGCTCCGCTGCAGCACCTCTGCAGCAGCAGCAGCACTGCAGCAGAGCAGCTATGTTGCCCCTGCTGCATTGCCTTTATGAGTAAAGGAGATGCTTTTAGCCTGAGGAGACAGTAAAGCTGTTGTTATTTATATACAGTATCAACAGAGGGGACAGCGAACTTCTTCTTTTTAATAAACAGTACACGAGAGAGGAGACGGTAAGCCTCTCTCTGTTATATTAACACGTATCAACAACAGAGGAAACAGTAACGCTAGAGACAGAGACAGAGTAAGATAGACAAGGAAAGACTTATAGAGACAGGGACAGAGCAGAGGGCAGTAGAGGAAACAGAGAGACAGAGACAGGAACATAGAGACCGAGACGGAAACAGCATATGTTGTGGTGTGGATCCCGAAGCAAAGAGAGACAGAAAGGGGGAGGGGAAGAGAGCAAGGAGGGGCAAAGGGGAGACAGGGAGAGGCAGACAAAAGGAGACACAAGGAGACAGGGAGAGACAGGCAGACGGAGAAAGGAGACATAAGGAGACAGGAGACAGGAGACAGGAGCCATATACACCTACACAAGGCCAGAAGCTTAACAAAGGAGACAGAGGGAGACAGATAGAGGGACAGAGACGATACAAAAGAGGCAGAGGGCAAACAGAAGGAGACAGAAGGAGACACATGGAGGCAGAGGGAGACAGAAGGAGACAGAAGGAGGCAGAAGGAGATTGGAGAGTTTGCCTGTTCCTGTCCCCCTCTGCTGCCTCTCTGTGTATCCCTCTCATTAAGTAAGCATCTCCAGTGCCTCTAATATCATAGCCTTGCATGCAGCAGCAGCAGCAGCAGCAGCAGCAGCAGCAGCAGCAGCAGCAACAGCAGCAAAGACGATGGGGCCCCCGCATGCAGGTGTGGGGCCCCACAGCTGAGTTAGCTGCATGGGTCTGCATGCTGGGGCTCGTTCTATATAATTTTAGTTTTAATGTATATTTATTATATAGATAATATATTTTCTGTTTTTATTTTATCTATATTTTAATTTATTGTTTTTCTATTAATTTTATTTTCTAAAGAATACCGCTAGAGCCCCAATCCACCCAAAAGGGGACAGGAGACACCTGGCCTTCTGCTGCAGTCTCTTGTATCTGCTGCGGCTGCCGCGGCTGCGGCGGCTATTTAATTTGTTTAATTAAATAAAATAAATAAATATATAGTAGCAGCATATAACAGCCGCAGTATCTCCTATTAGCTGTCTCCTCCAGCACCCCTATAAACCTGCGAGCGTCTGCTGCTGCTGCTGCTGCTGCCTGTCCCCGCTGCCCTCTTCTTGCTACTGTCTCTTTCTGCTGTCTCCTCTTCGGAGCCGGCAGAGTCATTGTCTCTCATCTGTCTCCTCCTGGAGACAGGAGTGGCCCTACGGACAGCTGGGCCCCCAACCAACAGCAGCAGCAACAGCAGCAGCAACAGAAGCTGCAGGATCAACAGCAACAGCAACAGCAGCACCAGCCGTAGTAGCAACAACAGCAGCAGTAAAAGCCACAGCAGCACCAGCTGCAGCAGGAACAGCAGCAGCAGCAGCAGCAGCAGCAGGTAAAGGCCCCAATGGAGTCTCATCTGCTGCAGCAGCTGCATGACGGCCTAAGACAGGGGAACAGCACGAGAGGCAGACGGGGGGGTTTGGGGGCTGTCTCCTCCCAGCGGCCTGTACAGAATACACATATAGTGTTTACTGATGAGGGGACACCTGCATGCAAGAGGTTAGCTGTTTGTCTCTTTCTCTCTGCTTGCTGCTGCTGCTTCTGCTTCTGCTGCTGCTGCTGCTGCTTGGTGTCTCCTCTCCCGTTGCGGTGGCATGTTTTCTGTTTTCTTGTCTCCTTTGTCGGTTTCTGCTGTCTCTTTCTGCTGTCTCCTTTCTGTCTCCCTGAGGTGTCTCCTTCTGTCTCTTACTGTCTCCTTCTGTGTCTCCTGCTGCAGCGGCCTCTATGCCAACTTTGTTAGGGGGACAACTCTACGGCCAGCCAAAGGCAAGCC